TTCTTGATTAAAAGCATTGAAGTTGTTGGTGCCTTTGTGCTAATAAAAGAAGATTAAAAATATTGTAATTTATGGTAATAAAATGTATAGGAATTGATATAATCTTACAGAAGAAACAAAATTTGAACCAAGATAAGGCATATCACGAACTTTCCCTACAGCAGCCGAAAGCTGACGCAGCGCAGTAACTCGCAACAGGAATGGACCTTTAACGTTTGCATGAAACAACTTTCCAAATGCGTCAGCACCTTAGCTTTTTGTTTTTGACCGTGCATTCTTTGATAAAAATTGTTTTCTTGGGTGTGTACTATCACTTCCTAAAATTTTGCCCATCTTTTTAGAATCACCCTATATATATATATATCATAATAAATAAATACAAAAAGGAAAGAGAACACAAAGAAAATTAAGAAAAACAAGTTTTATTTACTGTGCGTAAACTGCAAGTAAGTAGAACTCATAAAATAAGTTCAAATTGTAGAGAAAACATGGAAAAAATTACAGAACAATTAAAAAGGGGGAAAAAGAAAAATAATAAAAATATTTATTTTTATTATTATTTTTCTTTTTATCCCTTTTTTTCATTGTTCTATAATTTTATACATATATATATCTTAAATTTAGAAACATAGGTGTCCAGTTTAAATGTTTCGAGGCATAAATGACAATCCCCTTTGACAGAGATGTTACATAGTAGTTTATTCAAAGGAAATATTCCAGGGAATTACATCAAAACTAAATTGTTCGTAATCAGTAATTAAACTCATTGTCCGTAATGAGGGGCATCCATTTTGTAGCAGTGTCCGTAAGGTGAGATTTCACTGTATTTGCTTGAAAGTATACAAAAAAAAGTTGTAATTTTAAATATGCAAGTTTTTTTTAAATTTCGTTACTCGGAAACTGTGCAACCGATTGCACACAGAGTTTATACTTTCGCCATTTAAAATTATATTCTTTAAAGCAGTGTATATGTGCCTTTTGATTCAAAAATGTGTTGACTATTATTAAATAAAACAATGAATAGTAAGCAATTATTAAAAATTATTTCACATATGGAATTTTTTTTTCGAATAAACAAATTTTATAATTGTTGGCAAAGATTTTTTAATTTGCTTAAATTCTCCCAATATAGGGGAAAACGTAATGGAAACGTATTTTCTGAATTGCTGTAACCCCCTCATATTTTGTGAGTCAAAAAAATGTTTGTTTATTCAGAGAAAATATGTTTTTGTAACCTAAATGATATCAAATACATGAAAATTCTTTTTTTAAAGAAGTATTTTTTTTTTTTTTGACTGACTGATTATCATAATATGGATAGCCAGAATCTGGAAAACGAAATCACAATAGTTTAGTCAAGAGAACGGTCAAAAATTTTAATCCCTTCAAATTAAATTTATTATTTCTATATTCGTCATACCTCTGAAGTTTGTCATAAGAAAATTTAACTTTTTTGCTCGGAGCTAAACACTTTTTTTTTCTAAAGTAATTAATGTTTCAATGTGCTCTTGTTTTTTATGATAATAAAAAAGAAAATATTTAATTTATGATCCTTTCAGGTCAAAGTAAATATGAACCAGAAATGAATGGTATAGATGCAACGACGAATCATATGCAAAAATATAATCCAGATGAAAAAGTTATTGGGAGTGCTGAAAACCTGGTGGGAAGAGTAAGTACTAATGTAAAAAAAAATACTTCAAACGTCTACCCAAATGTGTAAGAAAGGAAACATGTTCCCGAGGACAAGTCATATATTGCATCATATGAGTCATATCTTGCAATGAACAACATCTGGCCCTTATTCTCTATGTATTGACTGATCTTTCCTAATGAATTACATCTTTAAAACTTTTTTTAAAAAATTAAATTTTGGAGATAGGCATAGAAAAATTTGAATCAAGGCATTTTAATTTGGTAAATGAGCTTTGCTTGCTTTAGACTAATATTGCAATATTCTCAGAAAATATCAATATTTTAAGATATGTTGCAACATTTTCAGTCTAATTAATTTACATATTTTTTCATATTGGACAGATTTCTTGCTTAAATGAAATATTTTTCAGCGTTCCCTCTAAGTGTTTTTTGAAACGCGGCCCCTCCGTGCTTGCCCTTTGATCCCAATAGATGTGCCCTTTTGGTAAAAATAAGCCGCCTTCCTTTAAAAACACTGCCTTTTTTTTAAATTCTGATTCCATTTTTAAGTAAATTGATTTACTGTTTAAATAATAACTACACGCTGGAAAAATTATCTTTGTTTATGGATTTGATTCTGTGTGCAAATATTTACTTTGTTAGGATTATTCTCAAATGGTTAAATTTTTATGAGTATCTTTTTTGAGGGATTAGTAATAAATTCTAAAGGGATTTGAAAATTTAAAACTATTGTTTAAATAAATACCTTTTTTTTTTAAAAAAAAAGGCACCTTTTAATGATCTGTTTCTTTTAATTTAAAGTTTAAATTATAAAAAAAAATTTCCAAGTTTGTCAACTTATCATTTTTTGATAGTTTACTTTCTTGAAAAGAAAATATGCACTGAGATGAGATCGCTTTTTAGCATGCCTTTAATTATTTTTATGAACTACAAATTTTTTCTTTTATATTGATAATGAGAGAGAATTACTTTTTTAATTACATTCAAAGATTACTATGAGAGAGAAATTTGTTGAAGATAAAATTCAGTTATTACATAATATTATACATATTGTTATATTTACGATGTTAAGTGAATGCTTTTTCAAAACTCAAAGTGTCCTTTTCAGCGAGGAAGTGCCCTGCCCTCTTTATTCTTGGCGAGAATTCAGCATTTTTTCTAAAACACTTTATATAGAAATTGTGGATTTTTTTTTTATTGAGAACTTATTTTTAAAAATCATAATGAAACTACTATTTCTTTGTTTTCTTCTAATTACAATATTGTAACAGAATAATTATCCCATCAATAGATTTATTATATCGCCACCCCTAACAGAAGGCATAGCGCTAAATAAAACCATGCATAGCTTTTTTAAAAAGTACTTAAAGGTGCTTTTTTTATTTTGTTTTTTTGTTTCATGGTTTGTTTACAATAGTTATCATCAAATTTATATTTCGTAAAATTTACTGGAATTTTTCCTATCCATGTTGGCAATCTATCTACTATTCGAGAGTTTTTTTTACATTTATATGTTTACTGCAGTATAGCCATTTTTTGCTGTAATGCCATTAAAGTCTATATTCAATTCATCAAATCAAGTCAAAATTCTTTATAATTTGTGTTGAACTCATAATGGTCCATCATCATTTGATGGTTACAATCATCCAACATTTTCCATTATGCATTTATGGTTTTTGATATGTCCACAAACTTTCATCATTCCATGAGAGAAAATGTTACTTTAATACTATGATGGTTAGCCATCAAGAGAAGTTTGATTCTCATAGACCAACAATCCATGATGATTCGTGATAAGACCATGATGGTTCCAACTATACATTTTCAGCGATGGTTTAATTTGAATTCTTGTGTGTTCTCAGGAATATACCATTAAGACAACTTGTTTTTTTTTATGTTGGACCATCAAATCAGGCCGAATTCCTGATTGTCGTTCATGATCATTCCAACATTTAATTTCTATGATACTATGATGGAAATTTTCATGATGGTTCAACAATGCATTTCCATGATGATTTATTAATAATTCTTGTTGGTTCAGCAGGAATATACCATCAAAACAATTCAGGTTTTTTTATGTTAGACCATTATCCGTCCGAATTCTTACATTGGGGTGATGGTGGTTCATGATGGTTACGACATTTGATTTCTAAGAAACTTTGATGGAAATTTCTGACGGTTCAATATGAACAAACCATCAAAACAAGTTTTTATTCTTTTGTGGACCATCATCCTACATTGAGGCGATGGTTACTATCATAAAATATACTGGTTCATGATGAAATTATTGATTACCATCAAGAAGTCCATCAGTTAAAAAGCATCAAAAAATTTTATTTCGGCACTCAGTCATTCTTTGTATCATTTTATTTATTAGCAGACAGAGATATAAATTTAGTAATTAGTTCTAACATATTTCACTAGTCAATAGTCTGTTAACATGCCTCAATTTTTAAAATTCTTTTGGACCAAAAAATTTTAATAAATATAATATTTAAATTTTCATAACCTTATTAAAAATTGCAAAACTGAAGTGAAGTTTTGTATAAATCAAAATTTTTTATTATTATTATGCTTTAAAAAATTATTCCATATTCACCATAAGTGAATCATTATATTAAACATTGAAAGAAAAAAAAAGTTACTTAAGGGAAACTATGTGGGATGTTATAAGTGGTATATTTTATGATTTTTTGTGTTTATCACAACTATATTATGATAAACACAAAAAATCAAGTTTGCATTCAGTTTCTTTATGCTCCTTTGACCTTAATCGATGAGAAGGACCATTTCAGGGTGGTTCAGTCTCAATGGTCTTAGACTGTGTTTGCGCCATTGTTTTTTACTACTACAGTGAAACCTTGCTACAACAATATTTTGGGGACCCAATAAATATAGGCCCTGCATACTTTGGGGACACAATAAGATTTTTTTTTTATTTTTAATGTTATGTATATATATTAACTTTAAATCTATTTATGTTATATAAAAATTTTATTTGCAGAGTGGTCATTATGGTTAAATATGAAATCAGATAGGAATGTTACATCTGTGACCTCTTAAGAGATAAGGGAGGCAATTCTAAGAATTGAAGGTGTTGGGGTGGTCNCTTTATTTGTTGATACAGACTATATTATGATAAACACAAAAAATCAAGTTTGCATTCAGTTTCGTTATGCTCCTTTGACCTTAATCGATGAGAAGGACCATTTCGGGGTGGTTCAGTCTCAATGGTCTTAGACTGTGTTTGAGCCATTGTTTTTTACTACTACAGTGAAACCTTGCTACAACAATATTTTGGGGACCCAATAAATATAGGCCCTGCATACTTTGGGGACACAATAAGATTTTTTTTTATTTTTAATGTTAAGTATATATATTAAAAATTTAATTTGCAGAGTGGTCATTATGGTTAAATATGAAATCAGATAGGAATGTTACATCTGTGACTTCTTAAGAGATAAGGGAGGCAATTCTAAGAATTGAAGGTGTTGGGGTGGTCTATGTTCATCAGGGATGGGGTATTGAAATCTGAATACAAAAGCCATTCACTGTGGTGAAAAGAAATAAGACAAGTGCATAAGTAATCAGCAGTGAAACTTCTCTAGTCAGAAAAGACAGAAAAAATGGCGAATATGATAAAACAAGGTGTTTTACATTATTTAATGACCAATAATAAAAGAAAATAAAGTTGAAGTTGGAAAAAAAATCGTTTTACAGGGGTTTATTTGCTTCATAAAGTGTCCCAATATGGAGAGATGAATAACATTAATTCGTATGCAAGTCCGTCGGGACCAGGGAACATTATCGTAATAAAGGAAGTTATTGTTGTATCGGATATCGCTGTCGTGAGTGTTCACTGTATTATAATATATTTTTCATTTTCAGATCCTCCAGGAGCAGGGTTTGGGACGCTACTGTGATCCTGAATTCGTAAAGGCAACTCAGCGAGAGCTAGCAGAAGCCATCAACCTCACCCCAGAAGAGCTTGACCGTGCAGCCCATCGTCTTCTCCAAGCGGAGCGTCATAACAGCAATCCTTATTTGTACCAGCCATACAACGATCCCGGCCAACCGCCAAAATTCGAACAAAATCCAGGCTTCCTTATGAGCTTAAGCAATGACGACAGACCCCACAGCCAACAGAACTATCGCACAGATAATCAGTGGGACAAACAAAGTTTTGGAGACACAAAGTTATAGCAGTTTTTGCTCAAAAAGTGATCAAAACAGTTTAGCCTGAATACCGTCCTCACTTGGGGAATCTATCTCCCTCTGCCAGTGCCTTTTTTATACATTGTTTTCTGTTGTGAGGAAGGAATGGCATCCCCTTTTGTTTTTGTATGTATATTTTGAAGATGGATTTCTTTTTATCAAGTTTTTCACTATGCAGAGCAACTAGAGCAGAAAAGGTAATGATTATTTTTTTTTTTACTTAATTGTTTGTAAAAATGAATGTCAGTATGCAAAATACCCTGAATAACCTTTAACCCGATCATCGGATTTTCGTGTACCGCGACTCAATCTTAATGGCTCGAAGGCCCGGCTTCAAATATGCTATTTAATTATTGCAAATAATATTTTGAGTTAAAAAAGTGGACACATAAACATACTTTTTCTAGGGGTAGCATGATTTTTTTTTTTAATTTTATACAATAATTTTTTTCTAGAGAGGCATCAATAGCTTATACCCATTAATGTTAATTTAATTTTTTGTGTGTTCAGTCATATTTTGTGAACATTTTGAGAGAAGTGAAAATTTATTGCTTTCAATAATGAAATTCATTTAACAGGGTGCATAGCGTATTTTAAAAGTACCTGAAGGTGCTTATTTTCAATTTTCGTTTTTTAAAAGGCCTTAAAGGTGGTTTTTTTCATGGTGTTTTTAAAAAGTGCTTAATTTTCCCTTTTCCAAAATGAGTTTTTTTTCTTTTCCATATCGATTTTCACCTCGTATTATGCAAAAGCGTGGTTTCACATTGTTCTATTTAACATTTTGAAAAATCGTTTCAAGAATTAATTTGATGTAAAATTTCATAATTTCTGAAAATTTACAATGTTTTGATGATTTATATTATATTAAAGAGTGATCCACTCTTTGTAAATAAGTTTTTAAAGTTCCCACATTGTTTTCAAATCTGTCGGAACACCATATTGCCGATTGTAGTGTGTCTACCACTACGAATATACAATTCCAATTCTCTAGTATATAAAGCATGTTAACTTGATTCTATGGTACCTTTTCATAGATGAATGTTGACATTGTTGATAACAACACTTCCCACCCACTAGTGACCCGGATGTGATCTGAATACGCCTGCCTTGACAGAAACGGCCGCTATGATTTAAACACGCTTACTTCGATGGATGGTTCACGGTGAACAGTTGACTTGCTACTTGTGACTATAACATTGTCCTCCTCATGCTGTTACTTCTCAGTCTCGATCACACACAACGTACACACTCAACTGCTAAAGTTAACACAGGAGTGACCACAATCGTGAATTTTATACATCTCCATGATCAGCACTCAAAAGTACGGTGATCTTAATACTGCTCTCCCAGCTTCTCACAAAACAACAATGATTCAACTGGTGGTATCCGTTCATCGAATTCTATCGCAGCTATAATTCTGGTGGGGGAGTACTGTAGTGTGTCTACCACTGCAAAAATAAAATTCCAATTCACTAGTATATAAGGCATGTTAACTCGATTCTATGTTGGGGTACCTTTACATAGAAGAATGTTGACATTGTCGATAACTTCTCTCTCCCCACACCGATTTTTCATTAATTATTTTCTTTTTAATTGAGTTAAGTGTAATGCAAAAGCTCTCACTTTTTTAATATCATTACTTTCTGTATACAAAATTTAAAATCTGTTCTAGATTCATCTACACTTTGTTAAGTTTCCATTTATATTTTGTGCAAACTAATTTCTTTATTTATTACAGGACAAATATCGATCTTTTTAATCCTTTGCTACACCTCATCAGTTTTTGTTAAAAAGTAGTATTTTGAAGAACATTTTTCCTTATTTGATTTGAATTGCCTATTTATTTAAGCTGTCACTCTTATTTATTAATGAAAATGTTTTATGCTGTTATTTTTTTATATATAAATGAAAAATCTATCAGCTTTGTATTGATTAATTTTTTCTGTTGAAGAAGTTAAATATTCAGTTCTTACTCTTTATTTGTTGATACAGTTTTTAAAAATAAACAACTGAAAATTATTGTTTTTACTTACTTTCATTTCTCATGAATCAACTTTAATTTTAATCTGTTGAACAAAGCACTGGGTATTTCATGCTTGAAATTTTTAAATGTTTTGTTACTTAAATAATGTTTTTGTTTTTTTAATTTCATAAGGAAATGTTTTTACATTCATATTGAAGCAACTTTTTCAACTGATTTAAAAAGTTAAAAGAAATTAAATTGATCCATCCATTTAACTATTCTTGAGATTTTATATTTTTATCTCTTGTTTGTATTGTATTTTTAACTTTATATATTTATTTCTCAAATTTTAATCAAGTATTTATTTAAGAAACTTTTAAAATATGTGTTAAGTTTTGTGTCATACACTTTTCTGTGTTTTAATAAAAGGTTTATTATTGGTATATTATATTATAGTAGGTATATTTAAAACCGCTGGAAAAATTATGTTAGTAATTTGCAAAGTATTTAATTTACATGATTTAATAAGAAAAGAATCATGTAATTGAAAAATATGTTTTACTCTTATTATTGATGATTATGATTAAATTGTGTTACTTAATGCAATTTTACTTAATCATGTGTGTTATTTCTACTTTCTAAAAAAAATATTTTGTTCTTTTGCTGTTCCTTATTTTATGACTTTCTTCCTCATTTATTTATAATCTATTTAATAAATGTTTTGTTTAAATAAAACATTTTTTCTGATTTTATTTTTATTTTATTCTTTGTTTACAAAATTCCATTGTTTTCAGTTTGCTACCAGAGCATCAAAAGACTGGTTTCAATCTAAGTTAATGTTTGAGTATATAAATTATATCAGGTTAAAATGAAAATAAAATATTAAATTCAAGCATCAAAATTAGGTTTTTTTTTTAATATGTGTTTTCTATGATAATAAAAGCATGAGAAATATTTTTCTGATGTGCTTGTATAAAGAAAAATTAGTTTCAGAAAATTTTATTAAATTTATTTGTAGCACAGTAGGAATACCTGTTTTTATTAATGACTGCACAATATGTTTTTATGAAAGCATCAAGTTTTTGTCAACGTTACAATTATGTTGTAAAGCAACTTTCCAGTGATAAAAAATCATAACACTAAATACCTATTAAAAACATTACAATGCATAATGGTTTTACTACTTTGTGGCTGTTTTTATTATACATATGATAATTTTTTTATTGTGGCAGGAAAGTGTTCTGGAAATGAACTATGCTGAAAATAAAAAAGGCAAGCACCGTAATAACTTGTAAAACTAATGTAGGATTGTCACTTCATGATTTGAGGGATAAATTTTAAATATGCTAAAATATTCTTGCAAATGATACTAAGTAACAAATTTAAACAAAAGAATCTACTTTCTTTTTAATGTGTGTACTTTTTTGTTGTTGATGGATTTGAATTCTTAATTGAAATTTGAAGAAGTTGAAAATATGGCCATGATGCAGAAAATTCCTTATCTAAGCTTTAATATTTCACCCTATCACAGTTAATTGTTTTAAATAATTCTGTCACACTGTTTAATTTGTCATTCTGCTTTAATTTCATTTAATGGTTTAAAATTGCTTGAATTATAAGGTATGCAAGTTTTTGCATTATTTTAAGCTGTGTAATTTTATAAATAACGAAATTCAGACTTTGAACAGAAGATGAGAATTTGAAAAATGCTTCTTTTTTGTACTAATTAGTGTGGTGAAAATGAAATTAATTTGTCCAAGTTGCCTAAACTATTATTTTCAGGTAGCCACTTATATTTTGAAGGCGTTCAGAGAAATTTGTTTAGTATAATATTTCACAACTTAAAATGTTGTCTGTTTAAATATTTTAAGTTAAACTCTCGATTTGTAAAGAATGTATCTTGATAGTCAAATCACCGCTGTTGGCAAAAAAACATTAATTTTTTTTTAAAAAAAGAAAATTTAAAAACATTTTATTTAAATCAGATTAATTTTTTTATATTGTTACAGTTACCAACCAATACATTTGATAAAACAATTCTTAATTTTATATAAAACAATATAGCTAAAATGATAAGATCACCTTGAAAATTGGGAGACCATTTTTTAATTAAATATTCAATAAAGATTCCGTTTGTTTACGTTATTTAGAAGGAAAAAAATTTAAGTTGGTTTAAATCTGATATTTTAAAAAAAAAGTATGTGCATTAAAACATACCAATCACAAGGTTAAAAGTTATTAAGTTTTATTTTTGTAAAATGCGTACGTCTTTAAATCGTTTTAATTGAAATTGAATAGTTCCTTGCTTTGAAAATAAAAAAGCAATCTTAGGTTATTTGTTTATTTAAATTAATTTTTTTTTTAACTTTCAAATGATCATTGCAAAATATTGTCATAATTTCTTTTTAAATAAAAAGAAATTAAGGCAACTTTGACATTGTAAGTCAACTTTTGACATTTTTAAACAAAAGGACAACTTTGCTGCATTTTCAAAATGTCTTGAAAAGCTCTTAATGACAACCCTATTAAAGCGTATTTCGTTTAGGAATATATTAGAGTAACAGCTTCAACTTCAGTTAAATGAAATCAGACATGTTTTGAGCTAGGAGAAAGATTATACAAACTTTTTTTTTTTCTTAACCCATTTGTGCCTTTTTAAACGATGTTTCTCTTCTTCAAAGATACACTCTTCATATTTATTTTATGGAAACAAGGTTGTTTGGTCTATCGCAATTTGGGTCTTCTGTCAACATGTAGTGTGTTTTTTTTTAAAGCTAAAGTAGTAGGTAACAGAATGAAATATCCACTTGACACTTTTCCCTGTAGGTATTTCTCACAAGGTGCGTAGCATTTTTAAAAAGTGCTCAAAGGTGCTTATTTTTTATTTAAGTTTTTTAAAGGCCCTTAAAGGTGCTTTTTTTATTCAGGCTTTGTAAAAAGGGCTTAATTTTCTATCTTTTAAAAAGAGATTTTTTTCTTTGCCGTGTCGATTGTCGTTCTAAATTACAAATATTGCATGATTTTTGCAATTTTCTCTGCAATATTTGTCAGAAACTAGTTATATCATCATGAGTATGTCAAGTTTTTGAAAATGTTATTGATTTTATGTTTATAACTTTGAACGATAAAAAACATTTTATTACTGCACAGATCCTAATTATGATTTTTTTTTTTGAGGGGGAAGTGATTAAAAATATTTTTTGAGTGCTTAAAAAGTACTTAAAAGGTGCTTATTTTTTGTTGAAAAATCTGGCTACACACCCTGTTTCATATATTTCACTTTTCATATTCAGGCATTAATGAGTTGAGGGAGTAAAAATTAAATTTAAAAAAATAATAATGACTGAGAAATATTATTGTTACATTGACCCAAGACAATTTTACAAAATTTTTAAAATGTTGTCCTGATCAGTTCATAACTGGATTAGAGAAACATATTTGATTTAGGAACTGCATGTTTTGGCAGAACTATTTTTTATGGATGGTTGTGAATGTAAACAATAACAAGCTTCCTAAAAACCGGAAGAAATTTAGAAAACTTCCTGTTATGTTGTGCTTACGAGGCGATGTGTGCACAAGCTTAATATTCTTGAAGTTTTATTAATGTTTGTGTTTTAAATTTAAGCGTAATTTCACCATTCGTAAGATTTTTCTGTAGTTTATGAATTCTGAGAGGTCATGAACCTAAAACAAATTTAATATCACTGCATAAGGAAAGTGTCAAGTTAGCCATGTTTTGAGTGCTATCTCTTATTTTGCTATATTTGCGTAAAATATCAGTGTTCGATATTTTTTGGGTAGCATCGTAGCAAGCTTGCAGAGTCTTCAGAATTCATTTGTTTCGTTGAAAGGTAGATTGAAAGAACGTTTTATATTAAGAACACTATACAAGTATAATAATATTGGATAGTGCATTTTTCCAAGCTTAGCAGGGTGCATAGCGTTTTTAAAAAGTGCTTATTTTTCATTCAGGCTTTGTAGAAAGGACTTAATTTTCTATCTTTTAAAAAGAGATTTTTTCTTTGCTGTGTCGATTGTCATTCTGAATTGCAAATAATGCATGATTTGCACAATTTTCTTTAATATTTATCTGAAGCTAGTTTTTTTTTTTACCATGATTATGTAAAGTTTTTGAATTTTATTGATATTATGTTTATAAATTATGAACTTTAAACGATAGTGAAGAATAATTTTTATTACCGCACAGATCCTAATAATTTTTTTGGGGGGAAAGTGATCAAATAATTTTTTGATTGCTTAAAAGGTGCTTATTTTTTGTTGAAAAATCTGGCTACGCACCATGCTTATCCATAAAAAGTCTTATGACAAATTTTAACCCCAAGCGCCATCTGGGTTTTATACGTTTAACCATCCGCACATTCTTTTATTTATAGAATTGATTTAAAATGATTAGATTCTGTTTATAAGGTAGTGTTGTCTATATGTGAATCTATGCATATCGTTCCTTACTTTTGTTACTCTTCAACGAAACATATCATTTTCTAGTGAGAAATATATATGCTAAATTTTCATTGCTCAGGAGAAAAGTATTTTTATTTTTGGGTATTGAGCTCTGTGTTGATTGTTTTAAAAGCAATAAAATACAATCTCATGTTAATACAGGGTTGCCACTCCACAGGGAAGAACTGGAAAATACATGGAATTTAAAAATCACATAAAACAACAGAGAATTTTGATTCTTTCTTTACTAACTGGGAAAACACAGGGAATTTTCTTCCGTCTTTTAAAAAAATGGTGTCTACTCAAACTGCAATCAATGGGGGTATTTAAGGATGATATTTCAGCTATATTCAGAGAGGATTGTGCTCCGGAAAAGGTCCGGATTTCCAGATTTTTCACTAACTGCAATCCAAAAATCTAAGTTCCAGAAGTTTCGACAAATCATCGATCACATTTATGTAGGAAAATTATTTTATTTTAAAATATTACAAGTAAAATTTATACTTGGCATCTCTTTCATTCGTAAATATTTTTTCTGGTGAAACAATAAATGTGTTTATAGATAAAAGTCAACTTATACATAATTATTCATTTACATTATGCTGCATATAATTTATTTAGAATATCATGTTTTGAAAATATCAATTTATATAGAAATTTTTTGAAATGCGTCATTAATGATTTTACTCAAGAAATTTTCAGGGTTTTTGAGTTGGGCTCACAATCACTCCTGTATATTAAACTAGTTCATTTAATATAGTTATTTGTTTTAAGTATGTTCAGCTGTTCCTTTTTCCTCTAAAGTTTTTTCAGCAATTAAAACTAATATAGTTATCCCAATACAGCTCACACAAGAGTGCAGTGATTGTGTTTTTCCTCTTAATTTATCGTGTATAATACGTACAGGGAAAACACAATGATTTTTTTTTCAGATTTGAGGGGCAACCCTGTAATATTATAACAGGTGAATTTAAGTCAAATAAAAAAAAATTTTGGTATACTATTATACATTAGCTATTGTTTTAATCCCGTGAGTATCACTTCACTAATAATTATTAAAATTTAATTTCAAAATCTTAATTTTCTTTTATCCATCCCATTCTTATCAAAAATATAAATTATCTTTATGATACTAAGTTCAGTTAAATAACTCAGGGATTAATTATTTAAATAAATAATCGATCAAGAAAATGTATAAACTGTACGACTGTTAAGAAAATAATACTTTTTTAAATAGAGAAAATTTTTGCTTGATAAATTTGTTGATTTTTCCTGTCCATCTCATAGAAGT